CACTGTCACTGTCACCGTGTCACTGTCCCCGTGTCACCTCCACGTTGATAAAGATGTTCTCCATGTCCCATGTCCCCTGTCCCCTGTCCCCGTGTCCCTGTCCCCACTGTCACTGTCACCGTGTCACTGTCACCTCCACGTTGATGAAGACGCGTCCCCAACATCGGGCGCTCAGGAAGTGCCGCAGTGGCCGCAGGAAGTGCTGGGGACATCGGGGGACACCGGGTGACACCGGGGGACACCGCGCCTTACTGGGAGCACTGGGAGGCCCCGCGTGGCCACCTCTGTCCCCAATGTCCCCAATGTCCCCAGTGTCCCCAATTCCCACCTCTGTCCCCAATGTCCCCAGTGTCCCCAATTCCCACCTCTGTCCCCAATGTCCCCAGTGTCCCCATGACCCAATGTCCACCCTGGTCCCCATTTCCCACCTTTGTCCCAAATGTCCCCATGTCCCCAATGTCCCCAACATCCCCAAGGTCCCTGATGTCCCCAATGTCCCTGACATCCCCAATGTCCCTGATGTCCCCAGTGTCCCCAGTATCCCCAGTGTCCCCACCTGGCAGATGGACTCCAGGGTCTCTGTGTACCCCATGTCCCCAATGTCCCCAGTGTCCCCAATGTCCCCAGTGTCCCCAATGTCCCCAATGTCCCCAGTGTCCCCGCTGTCCCCACCTGGCAGATGGACTCCAGGGTCTCCGTGTACCTCTCCTCTGTCTGCCGCAGCTCCTGGAGGCAGCAGAGCCGCCGGTCCACAGCTCCCTTCTGTGGGGACAAGGGGACACAGGGGACAAGGGGACAATCAGAGGGGACAGTCAGAGGGGACAACAATCAGGAACACCCCCTTCTGTGGGGACAGACGGGACAATCACGGGGATGGCCGGGGGGACACACAGGTGTCCATGGAGGTGACACAGGTGTGTCTGGAGGGTGGCCCCAGGTGTTTTGGGGGGTTTCCAGGTGGTTTTGGGGTCTCCCAGGTGGTTTTGGGGACTCCCAGGTGTTTTTGGGAAGGTTCCAGGTGGTTTTGGGGACTCCCAGGTGTTTTTTGGAGGTTCCCAGGTGGTTTTGGGGACTCCCAGGTGGTTTTGGGAAGGTTCCAGGTGTTTTGGGGGACTCCCAGGTGTTCCTGGAGGTTCCCAGGTGGTTTTGGAGACTCCCAGGTGTTTTTGGGAAGGTTCCAGGTGGTTTTGGGGACTCCCAGGTGTTTTTTGGAGGTTCCCAGGTGGTTTTGGAGACTCCCAGATGGTTTTGGGGTGGTTCCAGGTGTTTTTGGAGGTTCCCGGGTGGTTTTGGTGTGGTTGCAGGTGTTTTTTTGGGGACTCCCAGCTGTTTTGGGGGTTTCCAGGTTGTTTTGGGGGTGCCCCAGGTAGTTTTGGGGTGTCCCAGGTGTTTTTTGGGGGTTCCCAGGTATTTTTGGGTGCTCCCAGGTGGTTTTGGGGGTTCTCAGGTATTTTTGGGGTGTCCCAGGTGTTTTTTGGGGGTTCCCAGGTGGTTTTGGGGGTTCCCAGGTATTTTTGGGGTGTCCCAGGTGTTTTTTGGGGGTTCCCAGGTGGTTTTGGGGGTTCTCAGGTATTTTTGGGGTGTCCCAGGTGTTTTTGGGGTGGTTCCAAGCGTTTTGGATTCACCCAGACCTTTGGGGATTCCCAGGTGCTTTTTGGGGTGTCCCAGGTGTTTCTGGGTGTTCCCAGCTGCTTTTGGGGACTCCCAGGTATTTTTGAGGGTTCCCAGCTGTTTTTTGGGGATTTCCAGGTGTTTCTGGGCATTCCCAGCTCTTTTGGGGGGTTCCCAGCTGCTTTTGGGGACTCCCAGGTATTTTTGAGGGTTCCCAGCTGTTTTTTGGGGATTTCCAGGTGTTTCTGGGCATTCCCAGCTCTTTTGGGGGGTTCCCAGCTGCTTTTGGGGACTCCCAGGTATTTTTGAGGGTTCCCAGCTGTTTTTTGGGGATTTCCAGGTGTTTCTGGGCATTCCCAGCTCTTTTGGGGGGTTCCCAGCTGCTTTTGGGGACTCCCAGGTATTTTTGAGGGTTCCCAGCTGTTTTTTGGGGATTTCCAGGTGTTTCTGGGCATTCCCAGCTCTTTTGGGGGGTTCCCAGCTGCTTTTGGGGACTCCCAGGTATTTTTGAGGGTTCCCAGCTGTTTTTTGGGGATTTCCAGGTGTTTCTGGGCATTCCCAGCTCTTTTGGGGGGTTCCCAGCTGGTTTTGGGTGTTTCCAGCTGTTTTTTGGGGTTCCCGGCTGGTTTTTGGAAGGTCCCAGGTATTTTTGGGCATTCCCAGATGGTTTGGGGGGTTCTTAGCTGTGTTTGGGGGGTTCCCAGCTGCTTTTGGGGACTCCCAGGTATTTTTGGGTGTTCCCAGGTGGTTTTGGGGATTCCCAGGTGGTTTTGGGGGTTCTCAGGTATTTTGGGGGTGTCCCAGGTGTTTTTGGGGTGGTTCCAAGCGTTTTGGATTCACCCAGACCTTTGGGGATTCCCAGGTGCTTTTTGGGGTGTCCCAGGTGTTTCTGGGTGTTCCCAGCTGCTTTTGGGGACTCCCAGGTATTTTTGAGGGTTCCCAGCTGTTTTTTGGGGATTTCCAGGTGTTTCTGGGCATTCCCAGCTCTTTTGGGGGGTTCCCAGCTGGTTTTGGGTGTTTCCAGCTGTTTTTTGGGGTTCCCGGCTGGTTTTTGGAAGGTCCCAGGTATTTTTGGGCATTCCCAGATGGTTTGGGGGGTTCTTAGCTGTGTTTGGGGGGTTCCCAGCTGCTTTTGGGGACTCCCAGGTATTTTTGGGGTTCCCGGCTGGTTTTGGGTATTCCCAGCTGGTTTTGGGGGTTCCCAGCTGGTTTTTTGGGGGGGTCACACCCACCGTGGCCGGGGGGGGCTCGACCCTCATCAGGTCCTCGTAGACGTCATCGCCGTCGTCCCCTTCGGCCTCCACGCAGTCGTAGAGGTCATCGTCCTCCTCGGCCGTGTCACTGCGGGCGTGGGGACACTTGGGGACACTTGGGGACACCCCCCACCCCGGAGCCCCCCAAAATCCCTCGGGGTCCCCTGATTGTCCCCAGATCCCTCGGGGGTCCTTTAATGTCCTCAAAGACCCCCAGTACCACCCACAGAGCCATTAATGTCCCCCCAAAATCCATCAGTGTCCCCAAATGTCCCTTATTATCCCCAATATCACCAAATGTCCCCAAATGTCCCTTATTGTCCCCAATATCACCCAATGTTCACCAGTGTCACCCCTGTCATCACTGGCACGCCCCATTGTCACCATCAAAATCAGTGCCTTCGTCTCTCCATGGTTGTGATCATGGTGGTGACAGTGGCACTGCCAGCATCTCTGTCACCAACACTATCATTGTCAACCCCGTCAACATTGCCTCCATCATTGTCATTGTCACTGTCATTGTCACCTCAATGCCGCTATTGTCCCTGTCCTTGTCACCCACTTGGCACCATCACCATCACCATGATTGTCACCACCACCAGCATTGTCATTGTCACCCCCATCACCACCATTGTCACCCATCATCACTGTTGTCACCAATGGTGGCAGTGGCACAGCCATCATCTCTGTCACCAACGTTGTCATTATCAACCCCGTCAACATTGCCTCCATCAAACTGGGACTGGACACTGGGACTGGACAGCACTGACCCTCAGAGACTGGACACTGGGACTGGACACCGGGACTGGACACCGGGACTGGACACTGGGACTGGACACTGGTGAGCCTCGGGGAACTGGACTGGGGCTGGACACCAGGACTGGACACCGGGACTGGACAGTGGAACTGGACACCAGGGACCCTCAAGGACTGGACAGCAGTGACCCTCAGGGACTGGACACTGGGACTGGACACCAGGACTGGACACTGAGACTGGACACCAGGGACCCTTGGGGAGTGGACACCAGGGACTGGACATCACTGACCCTTGGGGACTGGACACTGGGACTGGACACCAGGGACCCTCAGGGACTGGACACTGGGGAGTGGACACCACTCGTCGTCACCGTCATTGTCACCATCACCACAGTGTCACTGCCCTCGCTCTCACCAGCCCTGTCATTGTCCCCACCATCACCATCCTCATTGTCCCATCTTCATCATCATCACCCCAGGTCACGCCATTCCTGTCATTGTCACCATCAATGTCACCATCAGCAACAACCCCAATGTCACCATCATTGTCATCCTCATCTTCCCCATCATGGTCACCACCCTCGTCAGCACCCATCATTGTCACCCTCAATGTCACCATCATTGTCACCACCCTCATCAGCACCCATCATTGTCACCATCAATGTCACCATCATTGTCACCACCAATGTCCCCATCATTGTCACCTTCAATGTCCCCATCATGGCCACCATCCTCATCCTCACCATTGTCACCATCAACGTCCCTGTCCCTATTGTCCCCATCACTCACCATTGTCACCATCAACGTCCCCATCCCCATTGTCCCCATCACCCACCATTGTCACCATCAATGTCCCCATCCCCATTGTCCCCATCACCCACCATTGTCACCATCAATGTCCCCATCCCCATTGTCCCCATCACCCACCATTGTCACCATCAATGTCCCCATCCCCATTGTCCCCATCA